TCATGTCTCAGTCATCTCCAACTTTGTGAGATGTGAGACTTCGGCGAGTGCTGGGTGAAGCAGGACTTCCTTGCATTTAATGAAAATGCCCTTCACTTAGGTTTCCAAAGAGCACTACCTTGTCCTGGCGTTGGGTTCCCTAGTGAATGGAGGTTCTCTACACATGATTTTATGGATTTCAAGCCTGCCCTTACTATCGGTATTGTAATCTCCATTCTGGTTGACTGCCAGAGACAACAGTTTGGTTTAGTTATTTTAAAGTTGAATTTTCCCTCTAGCTTCGAATTTTCTGGCTGCAAAGTTACGGGGAGCATAAAACTATGAGGCACTTTCAGCTTTAAGTCTCTACGGTAAGGTAGTTTGTGCAGTATAGAATTGGAGGGGCTGTTCTTTCTCAAAGAAGTCCTGTATGAATTCTTTTAAAGCCACTTAAGTCTTTGCTTACAGTCACAAGAAAATGAGATCCTCCACCTTAAATCAGTGGACTGTGTATTGAAACTACTTAGAATATAATTGTATTCTTTCCTCTTAATGAATCTCAACTTATGTTGGACTCACAATGATACATGAGGCACTTAGAACTGACTGTTAATACCACTTCCTGCATATTATTTAAAAATAAATAAATGTTCATTTGCTAAGTGGATATTCTGCTTCATCCACAAAGGATGCAACATGGATGGCAAAAATCATTAGCATAATACAAATGCTTACAAAAGGACTTTGGAATGCCTCAACTAAAAACGTACACTACCAAGGACTGGGAAAGAATTTCAAGCTCCGAGGCCAAAGAATCCACTGCATATTAATCTTCTTTATCAAAGAGTTGATTTGGAGCAATGAAGACAAAAATAAGCCTATTGTGCAATAGCAAAAAAAAAAAAAATCCTGGGAGATTGCATGGTATGGTGAAAAGGTGCTACACTGGGGGTCAGGGGATCCTGTGGTCCTATTTTTGTCACCAATTAGCTTTGAAATTTTTAGCCAGACATTTCAGCTCCATAAACATCCATTTCCTTGTTTGTAAAAGGAGGGGCTGAAGCATGTTTTTCCAGGGTTTTTTCCCCTAACAAACAGAATCTCAGAGAGATTGTATGAGCTAACCAAGGTGGCAGAGTCCAGAGAAGAGTGAAAAAATGCCTTCCAAACTTATGACTGAAGTTTTGCCTCCCAAGGGCTTTTCATTCTTTTAAGTGAAAGCATGCATGCAGATTCACCCAGCTGTCACCCTTGAAGACAGCAGAGTAAATACACTCTAACTTATATGACATCCAAAGTGTGACTGTTCAAAACCCCTAAGCACAATTAGAGAACTGGGGATTGTTCTCATCTGTGAACTGCATAGTTCTGAAAGCTTTGCTTTAAGTATCTTCCTAATGTTAACATTATGACTATCTGCAGGGAGGGAGATTTTAGACAACAGATTGTCTGTATTTAAGATAAGATATCCATGGGGTATGAAGGGAATCTATGATTTCATATTATTTCCCTCAATTTTTTCTGAACATATTTCAAATTTTTTTCTCTCTTCTTGCCTACCGTCACTGTTGGAATATAAGTGCATTCCTTCCTGCACATGTTCTGCAGTGTCATCATGCCTTTGGAGCATATGCAGAGATACTGAGTCAAGGGTTCTCCAGAGGAGATGGTAGGGACTGATGTATTAAGGCCATGCCATGAGGAGATGGTGGCCACGTGGACCAGGGAACTTAGCATCCCTCAGCAAATTCTGGCTCTATAAGGCACATTGTAAGATTTATGCACAGCCATGCAATTTCTAAGAATTAACGTCAAGGACTATAAAATTTACTCTTCAGATATATTTACATATTACTTTGATTCACTTAGTCTATTGTATGCCTAAATAACACATTGCAATGCAGCCTGATGTATATGCAGTTCACTGTTTTTTTAAGACACTAAACTATTACCCACCAACAATGTATAGAATATGTTCAATTAAAAAGTGCAACTTAAAACTTCCAGTGTAGGGGGGGAGGGTAGAGCTCAGTGGCACAGCATGTGCTTAGCATGCACGAGGTCCTGGGTTCAATCCCCAGTACCCACATTAAAAAAAAAATTTTTTTTCCAGTATACATTGTGTTTCTAGGGAAAAAGCTGAGAGTACATATGCCCAGAGTTTGAAGTTCCACAACTTTTCAAAAAGAATTTTCTGCTATATAATCATTAAGAGGGAAAATATACCTATGTTTAAAATCCATCATAATAAGCCATTATTATATAGTAAGTTACAAGGACTTCAGAGCAATATAGATTTGAGAAAAAAAATCAGTTCAAAGATACACTACAATAGTTAAAAATATAGAAGTGATATAAAACCTTAATGCTCTTTTCTAACCTTTTATTCATGGCCATTAAACTTTCTGTATAACTCTCACTTTTTCTGCTTCTTGTCCTCAACAAGTCAACTTTCCAAATGCAGTAGGACTTGTAGCCCTTATTTTTGTCTCCCAGGCAAGATGCTTTTAGGGGTCACTTCCCATGTACGGAGAAAACAATCTTCATGGATAATAATGATAAAACCTTATGGAATGCAAAAACAACCAAAATATGTATTCTCAGATGACTACATTTGGGCCAAGTCAATATTAGTCCCACTTCACCCACGCACCGCATAGTCTAAAAACGCTGTCAGCCTGATAAGAATTTCCTGATTTACTCTTTTTTCCAATAGAAAATATAGGTCATCAAAATAAACTCCCGACAGTAAAAGAACAGTGGTTTCCCTACTGTCTTTTTATTTTGCTAGCCAGTTATAGTCAAATAGTTTCTTTACTTGACAAAAAAAAAAAAAGTAATCTTGAACAAGCCAGCGTAGTAAAAGAAACATGAAGATTTCAAGCGCAGTTCTCCAGTAAGTTTCTAAGGTCAACTCTGCCTAACACCCACTTTATAAATATCTGCAGAAGCCCAAAGTATAGCAGATGTTGGTTAGTATTTACCAATTTGTGCCACTCATCAAGGTGGACAATTCAGATGAAAAAGTCAGCTCATTTTTCTGTTTCTTGATAATTTTAGCAAAAGAATGCAATTTGGGAACTGAGGTGGGGGGCTATTACAAAAGTTAGATAAAGTGTGAGTTATTTTTTATTAAAAATGAAATTTTATGATTAGTTATTTATAATTTTTCAGATGCTGTATTTTATTTTCTAGCTCCAAAAAAAGTATTCTCATTCTAACCCCCACCAGAGAGTCATATTTTAATGGAATTATTTTCACAACTCTAGAAAATAAAACCTTATTCACAACTCCTGCTAATTTAAGTTATTTTTAAGGGGAAAATACTTTGTTGAATGTTTAGTAAAGTTTGAGTCTGTTGCTCGTCCACATTCCAATTGATAATTGAAGGCCTCTCTAGTCTCTGAGATGGAAGAGGGGGGAGAAGAAAAGGGTGGTTCTTCTGGGACAGAGTGTTCATAAAACACATAAAATGGACATCTAGCATCTTTTTGCCTCACTTGCCTGACTTGTCCCTAAATGTTTTTTTTTCCATTACTTATATCTTTTATATTTAAAGCCAAAGAAAAACAAATAGTATAAAAAAAGTGTTTCGACCTGTCACCCTTGATCACAAATTGCAAAATGCTTTCCCATTCCCCTCCCTAAAAGTAATCTTGCTTTTTGCAAAAGCAAGAAAGTAGAGGTCCTTCCTCTTTTGCCCTAGTTAGTCCTGGTTAAGCTCATACTGTTTGGTAGATAAATCTAGAGTATGTACTCTTCCAGAATCAGCTGAATTTCAGTCCATAAGTCTTAAACAGAAATTATCATCTCTTTCCAAAGTGTAGCACAATAGAGACAGAGGTAGAGGAAATAAAGAAATTAAACAGTCAGATTAATTAAAAAGCCAAACCCTGAAGACCACGATAAAACCTATGATTTTAAAGAAACAAGCAAAAAACTCAATTCTATGAATGTTAGTTTCAGAACCATATCTAGATCCCTGATTGGTGTCTCCACCTCAGAGTGTATAAATCGTATTTTTGTAAGTCTCACCAAATCAACCCACCTTAATTCAAGAATCTGAGGACCCTACTTTGGTACAGCCTCTGGCCACGTGCTCCCATATGTGTTTTATGTAGCACTAACTAAGCCTTGACACACACTCTGTTGGCGTTTAGAAAGGAATGTCCAGGGGTACCTGGTGCTAACTTTCCCAGAACCCTCTCCTCCCTTCTAAAGGAACTCTATCGTCTCCCTACTTCCTGAATCCTTTTTATCAGACAGCATTCAGTCACTCTTGGCGTGGTGAAGACCCAGCATCCAGTGATCCAAGGCTACCTCTTGGCTTGGCTGGGAGAGGAAAGGGTTCCACCCAACAGACTGAACTATATATAATACCTCTGCGCTTTGATGGAATTTAAAAATGAACGAGGAATTCTGGGATCAATCTCTGTTGTCTAAGTCACAGTACGGGAAGAAGACAGATATTACAGAGAACTTCTAGTAAAATTTGATAGATATTACACTAAACCCACGTTCCACCAGAAAATTCCCAGAAAAGTCATTTTTTGAGCTCACCGTCCGGGTAGCCTCCCCTATGTCAGTGACACATTTCATCCTCTTAATTAAGAAAACCCCGAAAGGCTCTACCTTTTCGACGGAAACAAAGTACTTGGTTTAAAGGAAGTTTACTCACATACTCCTAAGACAGATGCCTTTGGTGAGCTTCAGAGAACTGAGCCTTAAGAGCTGGGGTGGCTGTGAGACACAGCCTCTGAGCTCCGATGACAACAGCTCACTGAAGCCCCCAGCCAGGCACTGCCTCTCTTCGAATCCCCACCCGTCCACCTGGCTGCTGGTCCCTTCCCGAAGCCTCGTCTGTCTCTTCTCTTTGACGGCTTTCGGCTCAAGGGCGCTCCCGCATGCCAAAGAGCATCCTCCGCGCCACCCGTCCCAGAGGGACGTCGCGGGAGCCCCAGACCGATACTCTCGGCGCCCCTCGCCCCCGCCCCCGGCAGGCTGCCCGGTCGGTGACTCACCTGCTGGCCAGGTTGGGGCGCCGGGTGGTAACAGGCTGTGGGGCAGGTTGCAGCTGCCACAGGGTTGGGCAGATACTGGGGCGCTCCATACGGCTGGGGGTGATACATCACCTCCGCACAACTCATGGCAGCCGGGGCAGCGGCGGCCCCGAAGCTGCCGCCACCGCTCTGTGCGCTCGCGCGATGGGCGCCGCCGCCGCCGCCGCCGCCGCCGCAGCTGCCGCCTCTGTCGCAGCTCCAGCTGCTACTGCGGCGAAGGCGGGTCCTCGGCGGCCGCGGGCTCCGCGCGAGGCGCGGGCTCGGGAGGGGTTGGCAATCAGCGGGGGCCCATGCGCGGGCACCCTCATCTTCAGCCCCTCCGGGTGTCCCCTGGCCTGCGCTTACACAGCGACGCGGGGACGCAGTGGCCCGCCGCGCGGCGGGGGCATG